CAGGCATCAGAGCAGCGAGAGCCCAAAACCCAAACAGTCTGTACCCACTCACTGTTGTTTAAAAGTTTCTCCATATACTTGTGTATATAAACACTCCAACGCTAGAATATGATTTGGCTTTGAGGGGACTAGCACAAATGGCTTTGGTGACTTACATCATGCTTGGAAGTCTAATCACAGACACTCTTGTCATATCAAGCAGAAAAAGTCCATTTCATAGCGAGCTATGTCTCGAAAAAAAGGAGGGAAGGGTAAACAAGCCCGGCGTTCCACAGCCACCACAGAATTCATCATTCATACAAAAAAATACCCCGAGCCCCAAAGTAGAGCTAATTTAATCCGAGAGGAATAAAACTCCATTTCATAGAAGTCGTCCATTCAGAACACTCATATTTCCACTGAGCAGAAACCCCCGGCTGAAACTCGAGCAGACACTTTTCGGAAGGAATGCATTCGGTGGGTTGAGGGCCAAAGCTTGCCCTGTAATTTGTGAATGTACAGAAATGTGTGACCGCCACAGCTCCTCTAAAGATAGAAATCTTTGTCTTATGTCATCGCCGAACCTCAAACTATTTCTAATTGCCCCCATAGCCCCCTTTTCCAAATGAATAGCTACCCATCCAAAGGCTTATGTGTGCATGTCTGAAAATAGCCCGGGAGTTTACACAGGCTAATAGATCATATTCAGTTAAAAAAAAAAAAACTTTAAAGGGATCTCCACGTATCTTAGAGTGTCCCCATCTTCAAAGTGACTTTTAAGTGGCACTGAAAGCAGTGTGGGTGGCATTTAGAGTCAGGTATAAGTTTACAGACCCCAAAGGCTTCCACTGGTTTCTCTGCTAATGGGGATCATGCTCATATTAGTCTTTACAATCTGACTCATAACACATAAAACCCAAAGTAAGTGGGGATTCCTTTGGTTTTATACTCACACAAGAGGAAGTGCTACTTTGTAAGGACTCCAAGGAACATTTGCATTAGTTAAACCTAATTTTGTACATTTATCCTGGTCCGATTTATAACCTTTTGGCTGTGGTGCTGCTTAATCTTTCTAGCCAACAAACCATTGTCTGATACCATACAGAACCCTTTTCTCATTTTGAGTGTTCATTATGATTTAGGTCAGGAATGCAGAGGTGAAGGCAACCTCTCAGTCACAATTTTTCACAGAGCAACCGTCAGTAAACAATGATGTTATTTCTTGATTTATATCTGAAGGATCCATTTTCATTTTATCCTTGAATGGTAAGAATCATATATGCTGAGGCCTATTTGAGGTGGGTCCGGGGTTTCACATATCCTCCACGAGTTCTGTCTTGATGTCAGGCTCAACCCACCCGGATCATTAAAAATCGTTCAGGGGCACGGCAGGCTCTATCCTCAATGCCTGTGTGGCTGAAACTGTAGAAACTGCATGTTGAAATGCAGAGGTCTAAATGTGACAGGCGCCCGGAGCGCACATTACAGCTGAGCAGGGTATAGCCAGGGCGTGTGGTCACATATTAATAATGAACTAGAGCAGGAGGACGACTAAAATATCACCGGCATTGTCATTGTCCCAGTCGAGCTGCACTCAAAATAGAGGCTGCGAGATAGACGATCTGATCAGAGGTGATTTTTTGCAGTTAGGATTGTAGGGATCTGGCTGCTGCTGTTGAGTGATTTGAGTTCAACTGTGGAATAAGAGTCTGTGATTTGGGGTTGCCCTACATTTTTAAATCAAAAACACCAGAATTGAAACACATTAGGACGCAGACATTAAGGCGTTTCACTGGGACTGTTATAAAGGAAGGATGATGGCAATGGGAATGGCTTTATCTTTAAATCTAAATATTCTTCTTTCTCAAACTGGCATCATTTCTAAAGTAAAATGTTGGGATTATTTTTTTTATTTGGTTGGTAACCCCCCTTTGAGTCACCACACCCCACTGAACCACTGTCCTAGATTACCAATATAAGCACCCACAAACAAAGGAGGCAAAAACATAAAAATAAACAAATGAATGAAAATTAGAAAATGATTAGAGAGACATAGAGAGATGTTTTATGTGGGTTTGATTTATAGAACTAATGTTTAGCAACACTTTCTCAGAGCAGATCAGTCAGATGCAGGAACAGATTTTTTTTTCTAGTCAGTGCATGCTGAATTGACACTAACTGATAGTGTGGGGTTTGGGAGAGTTTCAGCAATTGTGAAAATAAGCTCTAATACCCCAGCGTTATTTGCACATTTATGTAATTAGGATTTGTCTGTTTTTTTGTTTTTAACTTCTTCAATCTTTGCTTCGCATCTCTCTCTCTCTCTGACTTTGGCTCTGATTTAGTGTGATGTGTGAAATTAAGGGAAAATCTGAAGCCACTCCGATGACTCCTCACGCCACTTAACTGCATTTAATTTATTCTCATGCAAGTAAACAACTTTAAAACCGTCACACACACACACACACACACACGCGCGCACGCAGAGGCGCGCTCACAGGCAAAATAAAATGTGTTATATCAGAATCAAACATCGATTGATTGAATTCGTTTTAAAATGCGCTTTAAAGAAAATCCAAATGACTTGTTCAATATTTCTTTTACCGACAATTTCCTGTGTGCATATTAGAATTTAAATCATTGGTTGTTTTATAATGAGCCATTTATATTTTTTTAATCAAAGCAGGAATTTATAAATTAATTTCTGCACCAGTCAAGTCGCAAAATCTTTCAGAATAATGTTTCTATCCTAATTAATAATAAACGCTGTCAGTGCTCACAGACACTTATAAACAGTATTTTAAGCGATGTTTGGGAATTAGCTCATGCATTTACAGTCAAATACACCCAACAATGAACCAATGAATTCTCTAAGTGTTGCATTTAGAGACGGAAATGTTAACTCTAACCCGTCACATGGCTTCAGTGTGCGGTTATTAAACGAATAAACGTCAGTGCTTTTATAATGATTTAATGTCTAAACATTATTAAGGATTACTGTGATTCAGGCTAAAACTCAAATGTAGATGTGGGGGGAAAAAAAAGTCACCGGCTTTTTTTTAAAGACAGAAAAACAATCAAATTCGTTGAACTGATTTGTCTGAAGTCGAAATTCATTCAGATTTGCGTGTATTTCACAGCACAGATAAAAGTTTCCTTTTCTCTGCAGATGTGAAATGTCTGCCTCAGACTGAGCTGACAGCGATTGAAAAGGCAAATGCGCCAACTAGTGTCAGAAAGCAGCAAGGGTTTGCAGGGTGTGCCGTCATTTGATGAAACCCTCAACATTTCAGGTTTCTAATGAATTCAGCCTCTGGCACACACACTGATTACTCTGTTGGGCCGTTTGATGTGGAAGATACACATTTGCATGTTTGCTTTAAAACTATTATTAATTCAGTTCAGTCAATTAAAGTGATAAGGATCTGTCCTACACCTATAATTTCACTTTATGAAAATGTTATTTACCTGGAGAGGAGGTGTAAAGCTGCCAGACATAATGGGTTTTTAAAAATGAATAAATGAGAGTAAAACCACAGACCTCTGCAGACTAAATCCGTCTATAGATAAATGATTACCAGCTCCAGTAGTGAAGGTGCTGTGACAAACCCGTGGGACGGGGATAAAGGTGCACATCTTTTAGTGCATGTATTATTTAGTTAAACAGACTCCCTCTAATAATTCTTAACAACATAGGCCGCTTTGCATTAAACTAGAATCTGTTATTGTACATGTTTAAAATCCTCATATTTAATGTCTTACACATTTATAGAGTTTCTGTATCTAAAGTCAACTGTGCTTTTTATACTGGCTATCATTTAAAATCAATGTATGTCCAAATAATTCATTTTTCATACAATTGTGTGCAAACCATATGTCCCCTCTTCAAAAAATCCTTTAAACTCACACTGCCTCTCTGTATCATGTTAACGTGTGTCTATAAAAACACAGGCAGAGAGAAAAGCACAGATATGTATCAATAATTCAGCTCGTGTGTAACAACAGCAAAGAGCTGGAGGAGCACCGGGGAGTTTGATTGGTCTGGTAAAAGCCCAACCCAGCAGATTCATTGGTGGAACTCATATCCACACTCCCAACCACAAAACGCTAAAATGACTCGGGTAAAATAATATCGCAGCACTCTGCAGTCCGTTCAGCCTCACGGCTCCTTCTTGCGCCCTATAACCCTGCGCTAAAGGATAACTTTAAAGGAAAGTCAACAGGAGCGACGGGACAGCTCCTCTTACCAGAATAAGGTTGCTTTTTTTGTGGGGAAGATCCAACGAGGATAAAGTAGGAAGAAACTTTTACGCACGAAAAGGACACTGATGCACTTCAACTTCAGCTCGACTGTAGATATTCGGCTTTGAGAAATTTAGGTTATTTTTCCAGCGGAGTTTGATGAGAGATCGTAAGAGGCGTCTGGCAAACTTTGGCTGTTTTGTCGAGATCAGTTTTAAAAAACTTAATCCGAGAAAGCCAGTCAGCTGGACGGTCTAAACTTTTTGCATCACGGCTGGATTACCCGAGCACTGCCAACAGATTGTCACTGATCGGCAATAAATTACATAAGGGACTGGCATTGACTGATTCGAGAGTGAAAGCTGAAGTAGTTTGTGGTGTTGATACATCGTGTACGCGCCGTTGAAACTGTCCATCAAGTGTGCGACAGATAAGAGCGCCGATTTAACCCGGGTTCTGCACCGTGAGAGACTTTGTGCGCTTTTCTTTAAAGTTAGTGCAAAACAAAGAAACTCTGCGGCTGACACATCCTGTGCAGATGATCTAGCTCACAGTAATCAGAGTTTATACTTTCAGTTTAAGGTAGCGAGGCTCTGTTCACTCAGACTTTTAGTGCGCTCTCGCCTCCATCCTTTGCGCTCACACTGTGGACTCCTGAGACCGTCGGCGTCGGGAGGAATAGAGACTAAAAACTGTTTTTCTCCCAAAGAGTCCTGCTCTTCTGATACAACTCAGTCAGGTGGCACTGACCCAAGCTGTTGTGATGCATATTCCCGTAGAGCCGCCCACCACCAGACGGTTCACGCCGCCCTCCACGTCCTTCCCCTGCAGTAAGATTGGAGACGGTAACGGGGCCATGGCCACCCCGGGGCCCCTCAGGTCAAGATCGGACAACAGGAACGTGGTGGACGTCCTGGCGGACCACGCCGGCGAGCTGGTCCGGACCGACAGTCCCAACTTCCTCTGCTCCGTCCTCCCGTCTCACTGGAGGTGCAACAAGACGCTCCCCGTGGCTTTCAAGGCAAGACACATGGCCTCTGATTATCATTTATTATATTATATGACATTATATGATTAATTATTATAATTTCAATGACGCACAATGTGGTTTTCTAACTGTGGGTAATGCATGAGAAAAGACTTTAAAAAACTGACATAAGATAAACCAGATACAATTTAAGGAAGTATTTTAATTGTATTTATAAATAAGAGTTGTCTCTGGAAGCTTTTTGGTTTCAGCATTTTGCCCTATGTGCAGGATATTAAATTATTAAAAAGCACAGATAAGCTCTGCTTTTATTGGCTATAAACGGCACCATCCAGAACAATAACAACCTAAATCGGGAAACTGTCAGAAATTGTTGCTAAGAGGTCTGAAATTACAATCAGTCTGAGCATATAGATATGATCTAAAATATTTTATTATTGTATTTTTCTGTATTTATATCATTTTGATGCTTTATAGGCCTAGATAAATATTTGTGTCTTGTGTCAATATTAAGCCTTGTGCGTGTATTTGAAGGAAAATAAATAACATTAATAGGTAGGTGTAGGTAATGAACGCAAATGTTATAATTTATATTTAAATGTCATCAGTCTACATTAGGCGGTGTCTACTTAATAAAATCTCCCAGCTATGCGATTTATGTAATGGTTCATTGTTGACATGCTGGTGAAATTGTGGAGATATTCCTGTTTAATATTATGGGATCCGGATGCGGTTTTACGCGCGCAGTGTGTAGCCTACATTTGACCACCGGCTTTCTACTGTGCAGGTCGTGGCTCTCGGTGATGTCCCCGACGGGACTCTGGTCACCGTGATGGCCGGGAACGACGAGAACTACTCGGCCGAGCTGAGGAACGCCTCCGCCGTGATGAAGAACCAGGTGGCCCGCTTCAACGACCTGCGCTTCGTGGGCAGGAGCGGACGAGGTGAGCTGAAATTCTCTCTTTCTCTTTCTCTCTCTCACACATACATACACACACACACACACACACACACACACACTGAGAGAAGGCTGCTTGTAATGCCATTTGCAGCAACATTTGGTAACGCGCTTATAATAATATAATGGATCATATGTCTGTGTCTAAGATGAGTAACGACTGACAACTGACAGCATGTTATTATTTTTTAGTGAATGTGAAAAAAATATCAAACGTCTAGCTCACCAAATATGTTGCACAGGCGCACACATAGGAAACGCTGATCCATTAAAATATAGCGTTTAAAATATTTGTCTGTCAATTTTGGCCTGATCTCTGTTTTCTATTACAAAGATTAAAAAAACTGCAAATCTGGAATCATTTAGGTATGGGTACGGCGAGTGCCCACACTTTGCCAACTGACGTCCACGGGTGTCATCCGAAACATCTGGCCTGCGTCACGGTGAACAGTTGCGATGTGACTGTAATTTTCTTAATCCAAGGGAATACAAATAATTATCCTCGTGGTGTAAATCTGAGGGATGGATGAAAAACCACCTCGCAATTCGTGTCCTGGGGCAATTTGTCAAACAATCCCCGCCACCAAAAAGCTTACAGCCTGATACATATATTTATCAAGGGTATTGTGTTTAATTGCTGTAATAATAATTTTTTAAAAAAAAATCACACATGAACAGGCCTGATAGGATGTTGTGGTTATTGCAAGGGCCCTTTGAGCAACATTATTACTAGGCTGAAGAAATCAAAACCTAATCAAAAAACCCTGAACTAAAAATAATAATTGTTTACAAAAATATTCAACTAAAGGAGGAATTTCTTTCATCCCTCTCAGAGCCTTTTCTGCTCCTTTCTGTCTGCCTTTTATATTTCTTTTTAATGATAAAATAGCTATCATCTGATGAATGGGAAATGGGTCTTGTCTCCTAATTAAAAAGTAGTCAAATACCTTTCATTTCTGTAGTCAATTACCCCACCCAAGGATTCTTCCTTTTCGTCTTTCCTCCCACGCTGTCTCATTTTAACAAGAGATGCCTTTCTCAGAGCTGGGGACGAGCTCCGGACCCGCTGCATGATGCAGCCTTCCTCCCTCTGCACGGACTTTGATGCAGATGGGAGCAAGATCCTGCCTTGTTGAACAATAAACTATCGCTGTAAGCCCTTTTGGACAATCTGGAACATATTCTCTCAATAATCTAAATCATACGCAGTCAGGCCATCAAAAGAGGTGGTCTCTGCCTCTTTTTTCCCCCTTAATTCAGAGGCTGCAACGGGACAAAAGCCGGTGATGATTTGAAGTTGAACAAGTGAGGTATTGTTGCAAACAAGAGGAAAAAATAGTTTGCAGATAACTCGAAAAAGGACATTCATAAAGTGAAATGACATTCTTCCATAAATCTCATGGACATGTTGCTGTACTGCAGGAAAGAGCTTCACTCTGACCATCACTGTGTTCACCGGACCGCCACAAGTGGCCACCTACCATCGTGCCATTAAAGTCACCGTGGATGGACCCCGGGAACCACGCAGTGAGTACATAAACACACACACACACACACACACACACACACACACACACATTCACACACCCATTAACTCTACTATTGTTGTTGCTGAAGTGCATTGTGGTGTGAATGTTGCAGAGCCACCCAGTCAGAAGCAGCTAAACCTTGTTCTGAAAGTGGTGGGTGTCAGTATCTCTACATGCTAAAACAACTGCATGAGTCATATGAAGATGATGAAAATCTAACACTGTGACCATTTCTGATAGTGTGTAGTATGCGTTTATCACACTGTGGAATGTAAAAGTCTGTTCACACGATCACATGTGCAAAACATTTTTTCACTATACTTATTTTGGGGTTAAGACTTGGTTTTGGGGTTAAGATTGGAATTAAGACTAGGTTAGGGTTGGGGTTTGGTATGTAGCGGTTATGGTAAGCCTCTAGAGAATGAATGTAGGGCAGTGCATTGTCCTCGCAAGTATAGTAGCGCAGGTTTGTGTGTGTGTGTGTGCAACAGGGGAACAGGGAAGGGCCCAGTCAGAGGAAACTGTAAAGCATATTAAGGCATAATCCAAGACCACTAAGAGGAGCTGAGTGAGTCTCCAAGCCGCAGGTGGCTCAGCTCAGTCGACGCCCCCTCCTTCCCATCTCTTCACCCACCCCTCACCCCTACCTTCCCCAGTGCTGGTCAGAGGGGCCGTACCTGACCAACCACATAAGTGGCTCGTTGATTTAACACAGGGCAGACTCCGGCCGCTGTTAGCCCTGGCAGGGAGGCCCTTTGCCCTAAAGCTGTTAGCGCCACCGTTCAGCCGCAGCTACATTCTCATGTGGTTTAATGCTGCTGGTGTGAGGGGGATGCTTGCAAGTAGAGTTACTCAGATGAGTCAGGGACTGGGGGCTGTTGCATGCACGGAATTTTTTTTGGTGAGCTCAAGGTGGAAGGGATGAGGTGGGTAGGATTTCATGATCTACCTATGGTGGGATTGTCTGTATAATGGCTCTAGAGGTCTCTGAACAGGCGGAAAGCCGTGGCTAATGCTCATGCCTGTGGAGGGGGGTATTTGGGACAGGGTAGATTTAGCCCAGTCAAAACAGATCACAGCAGGAGAAGAGAGAGTGGTAGCAAGTGCCACATAAAGGGGGGGGGGGGGGGATGGCTGG